TATATATATATATATATTCATATATTTATATACATCTATGTATATTTGTATATTTGTATATTTTATTATATATCTAATAATTATATATATATGTACGTCTATATATATATATAAATATAATATTTATATATATATATATATATAATTATTAAAATTCTAACTCCCAATACTAATTTCCTATTCCTAAGGTTCTAACGTGTATTTCTGTGCTCGGTTGTGTAGTCAGATTCACATACCTGTTTGTCTCTTGTCCCTGTTCTGACTAAATAGAATCCGGGACGGACTTTGGCACCCGAGTGGAAATAAAAAACGTAAACGGAACTCGACATTTACGGAAAGCCATCGAATACGAAGCGCAGAGACAGATTGAGATCATCGAAAGCGGCGCTCGGGTTCTGCAGGAGACACGCATGTACTCGCCCAAGGAAAACGTAACCCTCCCGTAAGTCCGTACAACTATTCTAACGCCTAGAGAAAACGTATCTCTCAGTCAGCATACGTATTCGTTTGCCGAGAAAAAAAATGTAACCCTCCCATGAATTAGTGTACCAATTCTTTCACTCAGAGAAGGCGTACTGCTTCCGTATGTCTGTATACATATTCTTCACTACCCTATGAGTTAAGATAGCATCGACTCCCTCACTGTGATCTGAGCATATGTCACTGTCACACTGGTTATATACTTTCCATCGATGTTGTACACACACCCGCTTTGTCTGAGCACTCCCCCTTTATTCTTCTGCACTCGCACCGTTGGTACTGAATACGCTGACTATTCAGCTACGCTGTTGAGTCTATCATCTGAAGAAACACTATACACGCTTTAACATGAGAGGTCTCGGAGACAAATGCACTACAATACACGCACATGTATTCATTATACATGCCACACACTCGTCCATAAACAGCCCCACTCGCCTCTGTTTTCTAAACCCCCTAAACCTTACGAACCATAAACCCTAAACCCCAAACCCCAGCATGCGATCGAAAGAGATCGCCAAAGACTACCGCTTCATGCCTGAGCCGGATGTACCGTCCCTTGTACTCACGCCTGCGTATGTCGAGAGCATCCGCTCCAGTCTCCCAACACTCAGCACCGACCTGGCGTCGTACATGTCCGCCAAATACGGGCTTAATCCGTCACATGGTGAGATAATAAGCGCTGACGCTGAGGTGCTGGAGTGCTACGAGTCACTGGTGCGGCAGGGCAGCAGACGTGACTCGAGTGCTGTGGGCAAATGGATGTGCTCCGAAATCCTAAGTACGATGTGTGTCTCATTCTTAAGATGATATATATCTTACTTGAGATGGTATATATCTATGTCCATGCGTGTTGCATTCTTAAGATGATATATGTCTATGTTCATGTGTGTTTCATTCTTAAGATGATAAATATCTATGTTCATGTGTGTGCTTGTTGGCTAGGGCAGAGACGTGCTCGAAGCTGTTTAGGGGGATAGATTATAGTATAATCTGTTCCAATATTTTCCTCCATTTTTATTGAGTGTAGTGTAGGAACCATCTACACACACACACGCACAGTACACATGCACCACAACCTGACCATTTCTTTTTTTTTGTCCTGTAAATAGGTGCACTCAACAACAACAAGACGTACAGTACACATGCACAACAACCTGGCCATTTCTCTTTTTGTCCTGTAAATAGATGCACTCAACAACAACAAGACGTACAGTACACATGCACCACAACCTGACCATTTCCTTATTCGTCCTGTAAACAGGTGCACTCAACAACAAGAAAACGTCTTTCGACAAACTGGCTAGTCCCTACGACAGCCTATCGGCGCTGTATGATCTGGTGCAGCAAAACACCATCTCTACGCAAGTGTCACGCAAAGTCTTTGCGTTGATCTGCGACGGAGATATACGCACCCCTCAACAAATCATCAAAGCGGTTAGTGATATTTTATTATATATATATATGTATATGTATGTATATATATATGTGTGTGTGTGTGTGTGTGTCGTCATGTGTCGTCATGTGTGTGTATTTGAATTGGCTTTCATGCGTATATCGTGCGTACAAATCTCGCTGTCAGTTAGTCTCTGTCTAGTCGGTTGTTGTGGCTGTTGTGTACTTCTCTCTAAGTACTTGCCACGCGTTGTCCTCTGCCTGTTGTATTGCGGCAGTGTCTCATCCGTAGAGCGTGTCGGCCAAAACATTCGATTTGTTTGCGCCGGCGACTATCGCACCTCTCAGCAAACCATGGCATTGGTTCGTGGTACTCTTTACGTATGTAGGTATTTTCATACCAGTATATAGTATGTAGGTATTTTTATACCAGCATATAGTATGTAGGTATTTTTATACAGCTTATAGTATGTAGGTATTTTTATTCCAGCATATAGTGTGTATGTATTTTATACCAGCATATAGTATGTAGGTATTTTTATACAGCATATAGTATGTACGTATTTTTATTCCCGCATATAGTATGTATGTGTTTCGTTTACACATATGTGCAGTATACATGCACGCATGGATTGATATACACGCATGCATGGATTGATATACATGCATGCATGGATTGATATACATGCATGCATGGATTGATATACATGCATGCATGGATTGAATAGTATACATGCATGCATGGATTGAATAGTATACATGCATGCATGGATTGAATAGTATACATACATGCATGGATTGAATAGTATACATGCATGCATGGATTGAATAGTATACATGCATGCATGGATTGAATAGTATACATACATGCATGGATTGAATAGTATACATGCATGCATGGATTGAATAGTATACATGCATGCATGGATTGAATAGTATACATGCATTGTTGGTTTGAATAGGGGCGCATATAGGTTTCGTACACGTTGCTAGTACACGCCTTCAGATTCACATGCGCATGCACAATGCCTTGTACTTTAAACCCTATCAACATAACGATTCGGCTTTTACTAAGCCATGTATTTAATGTTGACATAAACCAACTTAGTCCTCTATTTGAATTCTCATACGATGTGATTCAAACTTATCCTCTATTTTAATTCTCATTCGATGCGATTCATTTTATTTCTTTTAGAATGACTGGGCGACAGTGTCGGACGTTTCCGCAATTCGTGACCTGTGTGCAGGCGTCATAGCTAAGAACCAGGATATTGTAAGTCTTGCGATGAAAACATGGTGCGGATATATATATATATATATGTACGCATTACAATATATATATATATATATATATATATATATGTACGCATTCAATGCTAAATTTTTTATTTGATGTGTATGTTCGTAAGTATTCGTATACATTTGTTTAGTGTCTGGATCTTCTTAACACCTCATGTTTCTCACATAGGTCACCGTGTACAAATTGGGAAAACAACATGTGTTCAAAGCATTGATTGGGAAGGCTATGAAGGAGGCGCGCGGGAAGGCTGATGCCAAAGTAGTCACAGCGCAACTGCAGAGCTTATTGGATGCTGAAAATAAATAGCTTCAACTCTGATTTAAGGATGAATAAAAGACACGTACGGATACCTACTATCACTTTTTTGGTGTTCTGATATTAGCTCGTAATAGCCTGGTTAGGCAGTTGAGCTATGAAGTGTTCAAAACTTGACCCACGTGTAGTCCAGTGTGACGAAAGATAATCCTGATCGCAGTGCATGGCTGTTCTCTTCAGGATCACGCCGTCGCTCCTTGGAGGAGGTGGGTGTCGCCATAGATCAATTTAACCATCAAATCATATGTAAATCATATATTTATCATATATCATATGCAAATCAGATGTATATCATATATGTAAATCATATATAAATCATATGTATATCATATGTATATCATATGTATATCATATGTAAATCATATGTAAATCATGCGTATATCAATCATATGTACTTCAAAAGCAATCAACCATCAATCATAAGTAATCAATCATATGTAAAAATCTACAAATTTATCGACCCAGTGTTGCCTCTGATTATTGTGCATACCACATAGAACTCCGGTGATAGTAGTAGACTCTTAGCACTTTGCATAGGTGGATATATACAAATTTGACAACGAATCGGCATACAGAGGTGGAACTGAATTGAAGCCGCAATTTTATCGAAGAACACCTCGTCATGAAGACGGACTATGTACCTAAATATAACAGTATTCCACTGTATTAAATATAATCGAATGATTATTTATTTTTTAAAGCGCCCAACTTCTTGTTGTTGCTGAGCAGAAGCCAAGTCGCCCCTGCACCAGGGCCCAGGCCCCAGGGGGCCAGCCTGCCAAATGCCAGGTGGTGTCACTGGCTGCAATGATGACCATATCGGGAAACATCCGTTTTTGGCGCTATAATGCTGTACGAGTTGCAGTCTTGCAAAGTTGCTGGGACCGTGCCCAGTGCCAGCGCCTGTGGCTGTGGGCTGTGACTCTGTGAGCCTGTGACACGAAAGTCCTCTCTAACGAACTATTTAACTATGTATTTAAATACTACAGGCACTATATGAGAGAGAAACAATGCTCGTGTGTGGACACACATGTATTACTATTGATACTTGTACCGTGTCTGTTAGGTACACCAACTGGAGCATACGCACACAAACGTTAGCCCGTTGCAGGAATCTTTGTTGACCACATGCTGATAGTGCAGGTCCATGTCTAATCTCCCTCGACGTATATAAGCTGTGCATAAACTGCATTTGTACGTACAGCTATGGCTAAAGGCAAGGGTAAATCCGCTGGTGACTTCTATAAGCCTCCCAAGTGGAAGCGAGGTGGCCGTAGCACACACAAGCACAAGACCTTTTCACCATACCCCATTGCACACACTAACACACCCCCTCTAGACAGTCCGTTTGTACTGAAGAACCTGCCTACTTGGGCGCTGGCGGATGGTCGTGATGTAGGTAGGGATGTAATCAGTACACCCGCTGGGGATATTAATAGCACACAGGGTATAGATAGCACACAACCCGCGACTGTATTTACAGACAGATATACGCCTGAGGGGGGGGTTGCTGCAAGTCCTGTAAGTGTTAAGCACGTCAATAATGCAGGGGAAGATTATTCAGAGGCCTTCGTATCTGCTCGAGTCGTTTCGTCTCCAGTGCAACCGAGTAAACCAAAGCTGAAAGCTCTATTCACAGGCACGGCTGTGCATGTGGTTGACGTCGCACACGCCACGATCCTTTATCAACAGGTGAATGCTCGCGTTCAATGTGCTGTGCCAGTGTATGCTTATCTATATTTGCTTGTGCATCGTATTC